TTTGGCAGGTGGTTAACCAAATTTTGTCAGTTTTCTGAAGTATTTGAAAATTTGAAGCTTTTTTTTTTTTTTTTTTTTTAGTTTTTCGAGACAGGGTTTCTCGGTGTAGCCCTGGCTGTCCTGTATCTCACTCTGTAGACCAGGCTGGCCTCAAACTCACAGAGATCCACCTGCCTCTGCCTCTCAAGTGCTGTGATTAAAGGCGTGCACCACCACCACCTGGCTTTCATTTTTTAATAAAGGGTCCCACAAGTCGTAGGATCTTCAGGCACTATAAAAGCTGGATCCATGCACATGCAAACACACATGGACACTCCTTCTCACATGCACATACTCCAGAACATTCAGACTGAAATTTAACACGAATTTATTATCAAAAGCTTGTTTGAGGACTGTTTTCATTGGGGAAGCTCATTTTAGGAATGAGCCAATTTTCCTGTTAGTTTCCACATTACCTTGGGTTCCTTTGTCACTCCCAAGGAAATGGGAGAGAACAGCTTTGGGTCACCATTGCCTGTGACAGATAGGGTGATTTTTGTCTTTTCCTTCTTAGTCTTTTGAGTATTTAAAAATAGTAATCGTCTGTTATGAAAAATAAATTTAACTTTCACTTTTATGTCATATTAGTGTTTCATATGCTAACTTTTGTTCTACAGACATTTATAAGAGGTTTTTCTTGTGTATGTGTGTTTTCCCCAATCTGTTGCTGACAGTTAAGCAAACACAACCTAAAGAGAGAACGCTTGTCCCTTTGAAGGCGCAAGAGCATCCACGACGGTGGGGAGATTGTAGTGTGCAATGGCTTTTTTCAGTCGGGTTGCCCTAGAAGAAACATATAAGCCACAAGGGTAGACCAGATGGAGAAACGGAGGTTTCCTGAACCAAAACAGTGCTATCTTTACTAAAAACTCAGCTAGTATTAAATACCAGAAGAAGACAAGAAAACTAGCTCTGAGCAAGAATGTCCACATTTAGCCTCCAACATGGCACCTGTTCCTCCCATAGGACAAAGCAGAGTGGAGCACCAGCCTGCCTGGAGAACTTGATGAAGGCTGACTCATGCAGGGTAAGGTGGCCATCACGCCTGGATTGGCCTGCCCCTCAAGAGGCTAGCTTTTTTTGTTTTTCCAGACAGGGTTTTTCTGTGTAGCCCTGGCTGTCCTGGAACTCACTCTGTAGACCAGGCTGGCCTCCAAGGACTGGGGTTAAAGGCATTTGCCACCATCACTTGGCTGATCTATCCTTTCTTGAAACACACTCCTCTCCAAAACCCATCAGAAGTTCTCAGCGTAGAATCTTCTAACTCATTTGTATCCACTAGACTGGATTCTAGCATCAAAATACTAGAAAGGTTCAATCTGGTTCAGGCCAGTTCAGATGGGTTCAGACGAGTTCAATCTGCTTCAGGACGGTTCACATCTGGTTCAGACTGGATCAGATCATTTTCGGACTGGTTCAGACAGGTTCAAACCGGTTCAGACCAGTTCAATCAGGTTCAGACTGATTCAATTCAGATCAGGCCGGCTTACATCCAGTTCAGACTAGATCAGACAGGTTCAATCCAATTCAGGCCAGTTCACATCCTGTTCAGACAGGATCAGACAGGCTTAGACTGGATCAGAATGGTTCAGATAGGATCAGACCAGTTCAGACCAATTCAATCCGGTTCAGACTGGTTCAGACGGGTTCAGACCAGATCAGATGGGATCAGACTGGTTCAGACCAGTTCAGATGGTATCAGACCAGTTCAGATGGGATCAGACCGGTTCAGACAGGATCAGACCAGATCAGACTGGATCAGACCATGCTGGAGAGATGGCTTAGCAGTGAAGAACATTGGCTGTTCTTCCAGAGGTCCAGCTACTCCAACAATGGCCGTCTCCTGACAGAAAGGCCAAGAATCCAGTAGTTGACTGTACATCTCAGCTGGTCTTCAGTATACTCCAGAATCCCGAAGAAGTAGGTTCTAATGCCAGGAAAGGCTAGCCTGAGCAACACAGTGAGACTCTTATCTCAAAAAGAAAAAAGAAAACAACCAAAGGATCAGAAATTCAAGGTCAGGAGCTAGAGCGATAACTCAAGTTAGTATACTGTTTTTCTCAAAAGCATGAGAACTTCAGCTGAATCACCCACAGGAAAAGCTAGGCATCATGGTGTGTGTTTATAATCTCAGTTTTGGGGAGGGGATCATAGGAGGAGCCCTTGGGCTCACTGGCCAGCCAGGCTAACGTAATTGATGAGCTCTTGATTCATGGAGAGACACTGTCAAAAAAACGAAGCAGAGGCTGGGAGAGACAGCACAGCAGTGAAGAGCACTAACTGCTTTTGCAAAAGACCTAGGTTCAGCGGTGGCACAGGCCTTTGATCTCAGCACTAAGGAGGAAGTGGATCTCTGTGAGTTCGGGGCCAGCCTGGTCTACAGAATCAGTTCCAGAAAAGGGAAAAGGAGAAGGAGAGGAGCCTCGATTTAGCAGTACTGGTACTTTTTGGAGTTTAATTTGGTTTTAATGTTTTATGAGACTTACACAAAGGAATATTAATGTCATATGCAGAACAAGTCACTTGAGCCTTTCATACACAGGCAAAAGTTTTCATCTGAGCTGAGAGATAATCTTTCTTAATAATATCAACATAGTCAATGGAAGTCATAATTAATTCATACACTGAGAATGTAATTAGCATTCAAATGAAAGAAATGACTGCTATGCAAAAAACAAGTCTATTCTATTATTATATTTGGTACAAATACAATGTCCAGAATTTCTCCCCTTATTGGCTGCAGCACAGTGTGATGATGACTCCTTTTTACAGTTTAAAACAAATAGTTAAAAAGAAGTTACTAGTCTAGCTTTAACAGCAAGTTTGTCCTTTAAAATTTAGTGGTGAAGTGCAACCAATCCTCTCTATCTTTATATCTTTGTAACCGATCAAGTTCAAATTGTACCTTTCATTGATTTATAGGTAAGAAACTTGAATACCTAAAAAGATCTAATATTTTTATTTATAACAACTGGACATCAAAAACTAAGGGAGGGTTGTCCCCTAGTGAGGAGTATTATTAGTAGAGGAAAAAGAAGCAATATTGTAAGGCTTAGTGTCACTCATTCCTAGTGAAATATTTCTGCAATAAGCACTGGAGAAAAGCAAAGGTTACTCAAGGACTATAGGTAGAGTAATACAAAACCAGAGACTTGAGGATGAAGAAACTTTTGATTAACTAATCACTTATCTTCTGCTTGATAATAGCCAAAAAGAATCATTGACATATTGTAAAAATTGAAAGGGAAATAAAATAGGAAGGAAATAAGATAACAAATATCATGTGTGAGCTTCGATCAACTTTTGATCTTGACTCAGCTTTCCAAGCAGTCTTGAGTTATAGGCCTGCTCCACCTGCTTCATGGATTGAACTGTTATCATTGGTATTTTAGCTATCACAGAAGGTACTGAGAAACAGAATAAGTTGTAATTCGCTTATTCTCATTCAGGTAATTTGTACCTCAATAAGGATTAAAACCTAGTTCCCATCTTAGTAGTTCTTAGTAGGTAATTTGTACCGCAATAAGGATTAAAACCTAGTTCCCATCTTAGTAGTTCTCAAACCAACACTCGCAGCATCATTTGGATCTTATTGGAAATGATAGTTCCTGGTTCTGTGCTAGACCTAAAAAGTTACAAACTCCGGAGCAAGAGCCCAACAGTCAGCAATAATGGATAGGAATACTTGGACTTACATGATAGATATGCTGCTAAAATGCCTATTGATATAATTTATTATCTGCCAGTAAATATAAATATTACAATTTTAGAGCCCTAGAAAACATATTAATATCAATTGAGGAAGAAAACTGATTTGACAGCATTCAACAGCCACTCAAACAAAAACTCCAGTAAACTAGTAATAAGGAATTTATTGGATTTTCTGAAGATCATCTACAAAACTTACAGGTTAAATCATCACATTTAAGGATCAGATAATGATATTTTCCACCTTAGTTCAAGAAGTGAGCAAGAATATCTTCTTAACATAATACTGGAAGACCTGGCCAGAGCTATAAAGCAAGTAAAAGCACCAAAAGACAAGGAAGTAACAAAGAAACACCACCACCTCCGTTTGCGGTATTTCATAGTGGTCTCTGTTGAAAAGCCAAATAATATACCAAACACAAACAAACAAACAAACAAAACACCGCACAAACCAACAAACCCGAATAAAGACTAAACACCTCAGTAACTAATAATTTAGCTCAGAAAAGTCTCATAATGCAAACTCAGCATAACAAACTCAATTGTGTTTCTATTTCTTAGCAATGAGTATGTGGAGACCAAAATGTAACTCACAGTACCATCTTTCCCATCATTCAAAAATATAAAAATAGTCAAGTATAAATGTAACACAAAATGTACAGATTTTCTGTGTAAAACTACCAATCTCTTCCTGATGAAAAAAATAAAACCCAAAATAAATATTGACATATACTGTGTCCATTGGCATTAGAAGATGAAGACATTAGTTCACCACAAATAAATTATAATTTAATGCAATTTTATCTCAAAGTCCAAGCAAAATGTATTGCAGTTGTGGGAGAAAATATATAAAATAAATATATAGAAATATATATACATATATAAAACAAATAAAATAATGTTTATTCTAAAATACAAAACTTGAGTGCAAAACACTTGGCAGATAGCAAAAGATGTATGTCTTTTAGGTGTTACTACTATTGTTAATAGTGATGGTAGCACTATGCTGACATGAATATTGTTAAGATACTTCACAGACTTCACAAGTTATGTTACTGAAATGAGAGAAAGACCGGTAATGAAGATATTCTTTCAAAATGAGTTCATAAACCAATTTCTAAAACACATGAAGAAAACTTTTGACAGTAAAGAGAATCAGAATAATAAACAACCAGCAAATAAATTCACAACATGGGACAGTTTGATAAATACTTTAATATGGGTATAATAAAAAAGATAAGCGAGTTTCTGGCTGTCTAATCCCAATAACTCTCTCTATATCCTGCTGATTAGAACAGAAAACTTGACAAAGCAACTCCTTGAGGGCTCCAGATACTAACAGGCTGCTCATGGAAAGCAGTCAAAATTTGGAAAAAAAAATGACCCCTTCCTGGGGGAGTCACTGGCTTCGAAACCACTTCTTCCTCTGATGGTATGGTCTCCAGGCATATTGGTAGTTTTTAGAGCAGCAGTATTGTAGACTTTCCAAAGGAAACCACAGCTTACTGGGAAGATAAATAAAGGAAAGAAAACCTTGTGAACTACAGAGTAGAAAGATCCTTGAGAAGAGAGATAAGCAAGTCAATCCCCTAATTCTGTGATTCAAGCTACTCCAGACCAATTTATGTGTAGAATGGATCCAAACCACAGTAATAAGGACCTAGAAAATTGATTCAAGACACAAAACACTACGTATAGCACATAAGAGAGAAATTGTTGCTGTCGCATAACTAGATTAATATTCTACAAAGCAAAAGTATAATTCAAATATCTCAGGACTAGAGAGATGGCTCAGTAGTTTAAGGTACCTGTTCTTTTTCCAGAATGTCCGTGTTTGATTCCTAGCAGCCAAATCCAGTTGCTCACAATTGCCTGAAACTCCAGCTCTAGGGAATCTGACATCCTCCTTTGGTCTTGGCAAACACATGCACCAAGTGACATGCACTCACACAAACACATAGATATACTTAAAAACAAATCATATATACATATAATTATGTATATAAACTTAAATATAAGACTATATGTAATCATAAATATATATGCATGTATGTATATTCAAAGCAAATGATCATTGAAATATATGTATATAATACAATAAAAATTATACAACACAGAAAGAATTAGAGAAATATGGAGAACAGTTAAGGGAAATGACAACCAGAAGATGTTATTCAACAGATGACCAAATATTAAGTGGAGGAAATCCCCACAACATCACCTATTTTAATTGTGTTTCATGACATAAAGACAACACAGTAATAGGATGAATAAATTTATAGGGAGTTATAATTGATACAATGTAATAAAATGGACCTTCTAGAGTTGAAACTAAGTGTATTACTTTTGAAAGCCCCTAGGTGGGTTCCATATTGCATGGGAATGACACACAGAAGAGTCAATAAACTTGCAAATAAATTACCAAAATGTATATAATTTAAGTGGAAAGATGTGAGCTCTAGAGTGAAATTAGAAGACATTTGATATATAAAATCTATGTGAAACAACAGTAATAAATGTCTCCAAATTTATTTTTTAAAAAACGATATTCTTGTAATCAAACTGTTAAAAGCCAGAGTAGATAAAATTATTGAACATAGGTGGAGAAACATGATATATTGGAAAAGAAATAGTTAAATGATTATTTTTTAAAAATTCAAAAGCTATGGCAAAAAGAGAGCATAGTAACATCTTTAACATTTCCAGAAACTAGACTTGTCAACCTCAATTTCCATGTTCAGACAAAATACCTGTGAAAATAAAGGCATTCTTAGACAGCAACAACTGACAGAGTTGATCATAACTTGACTGGAGAAGAGAGAGACCTAGCAAAGCACAGTTCTAGGTGAGGATTTATTGGGGGAGGGTCCTGACTAAACAATGGTTTAACCTATTGAGGAATTCCAATTTGGAATTTGGACTGTTGAGTGGTGGGAGAACTGCAGAAGGTGCTCTCTAGTTAGAAGTGGGCTACATTGGAGTTTCTTTGAAGTGTAACTTACTGGTTTGGACGTGGTTGGCTTCTTCCACCCTTCACTCTTGACCTTAAGACAGCCTCCAGGTTCCTCCCTACAGTCTTTGCTTGTTCCTGCCATTTTGGGTGAACTCTTACTCTTTATTTAAAATTTTTAATATCATCTCTTTGTCAATGGAATTAAGCCCAACTATCATAGAATGACAACACACACTATGGACAAATCATTCTTTCCCTGAGATTACTCATCTACAAGGAATCCATCAAGTTTTCCGGTGAGTGTCACTCTGGATTGCATTCCACATACTTCTTCCACAGGCAACAAAATCCTTCTCGTACTTTAACTATGTTTAATATCAATTAATAGATTACAACCTAAGAAATCTCCATACACACTTCAGAATTAACTCCTGACCCTGTTTTTGTTGTTGTTGCTTCTTCTCATCAGGACAGAATCTACAAAGACATCTATCAATTGACAGGTGCGTAGTTAAAATGCAGAAATATGCACAATGGAATAAAATTCAGCTGTGGAGAGAAGTGAAAATTTGGGTAAATGGATGGGACTGGAAGCAAATTAGAGACCTATAAACAAATGTCATGTGCTCTGCCTTATGTGAATTCTAGTTTTGAATCTTTAGATTTGTGTGTTTAATTTGGAGTACATGTAGAAACCAGAAAACCAGAAAGGAGCCATGATGGAGTGATGATCATAACTTCTCCTGTTATTCCCCTTATCCCTCATACCACCTGAGCTCCTCTGAATCCCCTCCTCCTTGAGATTATCATTGTTCATAGCAACAAGTAAAACAATGTATCTCCATATCTCAACATCAAGTAACTAGAAAGTAACTTCAGGTTTCTGACCTATGCTTTTTCTTAACAATGAATAAGTTTAATCAAAATTAACATAAAAATTTCATGTTCTCATACTTTGTATGATACCTATACTATGCAATAAAATGTGTAGTAATGATGCATGTATTTAATACAAGATGGTATTATATACATTTTGGCAATCTACATAAGTTACTATCTATAATTATATCAGACATTTGAATTACCATATGCATATCAATTAATCATTCTCTTATTAATGGACATTTAGTTCATTTGCATTTTTCATTATTACCAATATTCCTGTAGGTAACACACACACACACACACACACACACACACACACACACACACACACCCCTCTTTGTGCTTATGTCTCCAGGGGAGATCCTAAGAATTGAAATTCTTCAGTCATTGTATGTGCTTGATTTCCTCAATTATCCATCAATGCAGGTGATCCATTTTACATGGATGCCACTTATTTGGAGGAGATTGGCTTACAGGAGGATTAAACATGATGGTTCATACACGGTATTTATTTAGTAGATATTTTTGTCCATTTCCACATTATATTGATCAACTGTTGGATTTTAGGCAAATTTTAAAACAAAATGCAGTACTTAATATTTTATGTACATTTCCCTGGTTGAGCATTTTCCCCTGTCATTTCTTATCTCTAGTTTTAGATCCACCCTTAACAATTTACTCAGAACTAAAGGGTTCCTTCTTACAGGTGCATCTAGCTGTGACAGAAGTTGCCTAGTCAAGTTGCCTAGCGACCAAGCACACTTCTCCTGCCCTGCCAGAAACAGTGGGAGCAGAGATAGCTTGGAGAGATAAGGGCCAAAGGAATAAAAGGCAGTTTTATTTTCAGAGCAAGGACAGAGAAGAAAAAAGAGAATTGAAGAACTAGATGGGTAAGAACTGGAGGGAAAGGAACTGAGATGGGGAAGAACTAGATTGGAGGAGAACTAGATTGGGGGACTAGACGAGAGAACTAGAAGGATGAGATGCAAGATGAGGAAGAGCCAGAAGGGGAAGAACTAGATGGGTAAGAACAACATGAAAAAGACCAAGATGGGGCAGAACTAAGATGAAAGAATTAAGATAGCAAATAGAAGAAACAGCAGAAAGATGTAGAGAGAATCAGACAAGAATCTAAGTGTGAGAGCAGAAAAGAAGCTGTGCTGAGAGAGAACTGACTCAGAAGAATGAAGTGTATGGACTAAAGAGTTTCATGTATATAGATTCATTTATTATCATCACAGATTAGATTATCATATGATTTATATTCTTCCTAGACCCTGGGAGAGGACTATTGAGGGGCTGGACCCCAATAGTCTTTGATATCCAGCCTGAGTCTTGTTTTTAAATTTTGCTCACGGCATATTTTGGAGGATGTTTTTTTTATTCTTTGACTATTTCGTACACATAAACAGTGTATCTTGATTGTATTCACCCTCAGCTCCCCAGTCCCACTTCTCCAGATACTCCTAACATAAAAGGTTTAATTTGATCTGCTCAATTGTGTCTACCTTTCCCTTCCTATTTGATGCATATTCTACTTTATTAACAAGATGTTTGCAACCACAGGATCTAATGACATTTTCCTAAATTGTGGATTTCCATCTGCTTTTCTCTTTTTTGTGTTCTTCAAATTTGGATCCAGATTCACATCAGATGGTCATGAAAGTTTTCATCTATATATTTCTACAGAAATAAACACTTTATGCACACACATACATACACAAGAGTACTTAGGAAATTTGAATTAATTGGGTGAGTGAATACAATGTGAATATTCTAGTTGCAGAATTCTACTATAGGTCTGAAACATGTCCTCTTTAAGACAAGAGGGTATAGGAACTCTACATTATTTCCCACTAGTGTATGCAACTCTACAAACATATTGTTGCAGAAAGCTGTCCTTTAAAGTTAATATCTATAACCACCTTAATCACGAAGCTAAATGACCTTCAAGATCCAGTCTGTTGGTGTTTCCTCATAGAAGGGGTGGGTCATTAGATCCTCACCTGAGAGTCCAGCCACTTACTCCTGCACTTCTCTCCCAGCTGCCTGTAATTGTGCTCCATCTTCACATTGTCTCTGGAGGTTAACTAAAGGGAATTATCTCTTCTCCATCCATGCTGGAGTGAGAACTTTTGGTGATACCACTTGTTTGAGTTTCCCCATGCTCCTGAACGTACTCCTTTACTCATGCTCCTATGAGCAAGCTTCACATACTCAGTTTACAAAGCCAGACTGGGTGGAATTGTGACTTTCATCACTATCTGAGATGAATAGACATTCACATTTCTCCAGGAAAAGTTATTACAACAATGTCAAAAATTTCTTAAAGTCTTTATTCTTCTTATCCTTCTACATCTTGTCTGGCACACCATAGGGAAGTGGCTTTACCACTCAGAAAGCATTTCCAGCCCATAAAGTGCTACAAAAACAGGACATTATACTACTAAAGGTATATTAGTAGTAGTGCTTGCCAAGCATTAGTATGGACTCAAGTTCCAACTACAACACTGTATTTTTCTTAAAAGAATGCTGAGAATGTATCTCAGTTGGTACAGTGTTTGCTGGGTATGCAGAAAGCCCTGGGTTTCATATCTATTACAATGTAAACCAGACTTGGTGGTGTCTATCTGTAATTCCAGTACTTGGAAGGTGGAGAAAAAGGATCAGAGGTTCAATGTCATTCTCTGCTTTATAGTGAATTTGAGGCCTGCTTGGCATACACAAGAGCCTGTCTTTAAAACAACAACAAAAGAGACTATCTTAGGTATATGATACTCTGGCTTATGATTTTTAGGATTTATAATGTTGTCAAAGCAATGTGTATTCACTAGAAACCTGATACACTTCAAATTTGGAATATGGAACTTTCACAAAGCTGGCCATATATAGCCTATCATCTCTAGAATGCTGGGCAGCTGTGATCACAAGGATGGGCAACCCATGGCTACAGTTATGATGCTCAAGTGTGGTAGTCAATAGGTTAGGTGGATTAAATGCATTTTTTTCACTTATAGTATTTTCATTTATGACAAATTTAGCAGAATAGAATTCCTTCACAAACCAAAGAAGCATCTATAGTGACCAAAATGTTTTATCAATGATAGTACCTTCAAAATTATTATCTAGCTTTGAAAGGGCAAAAATGGAACTACTGAGATATTTTGACAAGTTGTTCACAATCTCGTGTGTATCTGATAGAAATTTCTGAGACAGTTTTGTTTACTTATTTGAGGAAACTAAGTCTCAAAGAGGTGAAAAAAATCTTTAGGCACACACAGCTGGTCATAAGTAATTTGGTTGCTCATCCTTTATAGTTCAGTTATTCCTGTCACTTTTCCAAGGTGAAAGCAATCGTCTTATTTCATTTTCTCAGTTATAAAATCTTACTCTCAATTTTGATTTTTGAGAGCTATACCATCAAGAAGTTTGTTTTTCTTACTTACCAATACGTAGGTCCAAAAGCAATTATGAGATATACAACCTCCACACTGAATAAGTAAGCAGGGCAAAGTATCCCTGCATATGATGAAGAGAATAAAATTGATTGCTCATTTAACACCTCTTCTGGAGACACAACTGATGAGTATCTATCACCCCTTTCTCTAATACTTCCTTCTTGGTACAAGACTTTCACCAACTTTAGAGGATGCTCTGGACATTTGAAGAGATGAGGAGAGATGAGTAGAATGGGATAGACTTGTGATATTTCCTTTAAGTCAGAAGATCTTCAAACGTTTATGTCAATATACCCATGAAAAGGTTATAATAAACAAAATATCTTTTCACACACTTTTTAAATTGACCTTTAAAATGTTTCATTATCACATTAAATAAAGGCAAAGGGTGTATTTTGGGTTTGACACTTTTCAACAAACTGTTACATCATTCTTAATGGTACTTGATGGTGTCTGCAACTGTTATGCTACTCATCATCTACTTAAAAATTATTTCAGGGGCTAGAGAGAGGCTCAGCCGTTATGAGGACTGGCTGTTCTTCAGAAGACTCAGGTCTGAGTGCTAGCACTCATCTGGTGGCTCACAACCATCTGTAATTCCATAGGATTTGATATCCTCTTCTGACCTTCTTGGACACCAGGCATGCAAGTGGTATAAAGGCCTACATGCAGACAAAACACTTCCCCCACACACACACACACTCACTGTACGCACACACACATACACATACACACACATATAAAATCTCTTTAACTTTCAGAAATTTTACACCATTTCTACATTTGAAAATCGTTTACAAAATGATATACTTAACTTATATTCAATCATTATATTTAAACTGAAATCTAGTTTATTTTTTTTTTCATTTGATCAGGCAACGTTACATTAAAAATTTCAGTATTGTATTGCTATTACAATCATTACTAGGAAAATGATTAGAAGCAACATATATATTTTGAGAAGTGATTATTAAATACAAAAGTTCATTCATCATGGAAATGCTCTTCTTAATGAACTGGATAGTGTTCCTTTTATCTAGGGAGTTTATGAGTTCTGAATGAATGGTATTTATCCTTGGTATGAAGCAGGATTCAGCATACATTCACTGCTTCTGTTCTGTGGTTATTTAAATGAGGGTAAGGGAATATAAGGAGTTTTA